GTGGAATAATAAACATACTCCAGCCAGTGTTAACATAGGGCGGGTGATGAGTTGTTTTAGTGTTCATTTATATGGAAGACTAAAATAGTTTACCAGAGTCCATCAACAAATAATTCTACCCAAATTCTTAAGACACATTGTTTGAGAAAGGTTTAAAGCCACATATTGACCACAGCTTATATACGTTCTTCACTCTTGTGTCCTCGGGTAAAACAACACCGCCCTGATCCTCGTTGGTACTAACCTGTTAACCTTTCATCAACCAAGCCACCTGTTTCTTGTTCATTGTATTAAGTTCCAGATTATCAAAGTTTCCCACGATAATTTCTCCTACCAAACTGGTGGATGAAAGAACCTATAGTATGTATAGTGTTTGCCGCCATGTTTGTATGGTGTTGAAGTAAACTGTTAGAAAGGTTTTCACGTCACCTGTCAGGGGTGAAAATTGAGGTATGAGACCCTGAGAATCCGGATCCGGGTCTCCCCTTATGCTCTCCCCTAAATCCTTTGTGTGCAGTGTTTTGTGTGTTCTCTGACACCAAGACCCGCACAAAGACCTCAGACAAAGCTCCTGGCCTTCACTGTGTCCATCCTTCAGCTCAGAAGGAGTGTTCGCCACAGTTATCACTGATCCTTTTGCACGCTTTTCACGCATCTCTCTCTCTCTCTCTCTCTTCTCCATAACCCCGGGGAGGGAAGCTGCTAGCCGACCGTGACTCATGTCTTGCTAATATTGTCAAAGTAGCCGACCGTGACTCGCGTCTCTTCTCCACTATGGCAACAAATTAACTATCAACCACTTTAAATGTTTCCTCAGCTCAGTAACACAGCACTGCCTCATAGTGAACCATGAGGCCTGATACTCTTAAGGTTCGTAAAAGTCCTCGTAACTGAAGCTGTGATGATGTATATAACAAACTTCTTGGAATTATGTTAAACCACAAAATAGCGTTCAAATTATACTGACTCTACCTTAACTAGATACTGAGACTTCCTTAACATGATAACGAAATTACCTTAATTATAAACCCATTTATCCCCAGGTAGGAAGCACAATTAATGTACTCTATTTCACCTCTGCCATTTTCAAAATTAAGGAAATTATCTTCAACTGTTTCATCTCATTAAATTTAAAGAGACATTCATGTACGTTTTTCCCTCTTACCTATTCGTGTACGTTTTCTTCCCTAGCCTCTTGTGTACGTTTTCCTCAACGTTTCTCATTAACTTTTTTTTCTATTCTATCCTTGACCTCAGCCTTCATCCTGTTTATGTCCTATCCTTGACACACACACACACACACACAGAGGGAGCACCGCCGGGTGTTGTTGTAATGCTTCAGTAACTAAAACACTCTCTTTCAAAATCAAGGACCAAGACATTTTATGCCGTCGCCTTTTCGTTAACTGTGATTATTTTCTTGTTCTTGTTGTTGATGTTTTTCTTCTTTTTCTTCTCCTCACTAAGTTAACTCAAGCTGGTTTTAACTTATATAATCTGTCGTGGAGTCCTGATATCAGTGAACTTATCCAATCTCTCTCTCTCTCTCTCTCTCTCTCTCTCCAGCAGTACCCCCACACTTGAAAACCCCACCTCCCTCCCTCCCACCCATCCTTAATTCATCCTAGCAATCCAACTACCTTATCAGTAACCTAATCCTTATCAGTACTCTCCACAATAGTCTTCTTAAATCGACCTTTTTTTAGATTATAATACTGTCGGCACTTTTATGATTATTACATGGACGAAATTTTTTTACCTATCAGCTTAAGTATAGATGAACCCAGGAGCTGTTGTTGTTGTTCGCCTGCTGGCTGCCACAAGGACGCTAAATGAGTAATTGTATCTTGCAGCAAATATCATTGTTTGTTTGGATAATGTAATGTATGTACTACTATTACCGTAAGCCACCGTCATCCTCCGAAGGTTAAACCACGATCAGGCGAGGGATTAAACCATCATCTTCAAAATGGTTAAATCTCTCATCCTTAAAGGGTTAAAGAAAGACCTTGGAGTTTGTTGTTAATCCGGCTTAATACTTTATAACATCAGTAACTTATCTCTCTCTCTCTCTCTCTCATTCATATATAATGTTTCCAATGCTATATTATTTACAGCACTTGAAAACAAACCAAACAAAACAAAAAACCAAACCAAACAGCAAAACCAAAAAAAAACAAAAAAAAAAACCTCAGCATGGAACAGCTTCTCTCCCCGACTTACCTTCACTCAGAGACTCTCCCCCATACTACACATGTTTTCACGGATCACCTAAAGATTAACCCCAGCTTAATTCATCTGATGAGTAAACACTGTAACGTTACCTGGGTAGTTAGATTAGGTTAGGTAAGGTTTATTATGTACGGGTGGCCAATCTTAAGGTGAAGTAAGCTGGGGAGCTAATCTTAAGGTGAAGTAAGCTTGGGGGTAATCTTAAGGTGAAGTAAGCTGGGGGCTAATCTTAAGGTGAAATAAGCTGGGGCTAATCTTAAGGTGAAATAAGCTGGGGGGCTAATATTAAGGTGAAGTAAGCTTGGGGGTAATCTTAAGGTGAAGTAAGCTTGGGGCTAATCTTAAGGTGAAATAAGCTTGGGGCTAATCTTAAGGTGAAGTAAGCTTGGGGCTAATCTTAAGGTGAAGTAAGCTTGGGGGTTAATTTTCAGATGGTCGGTTTTCACTGCTGCTAACAAATAATGGACACTTTTTTAAATATAAAATACAGAGACTTAGTGTGTACATGATCATGAAGCCGCTCATGTGTAGGGATTGATCCACGTGTGTGTGTGTGTGGTCGGTCTTATAAACGTTCCTGTTGTCATGTGCATTAGCCTTAGCGACTGTGAGGGAGGGGGGGACGTTGAACACACTTCCTCGGACGAGTGTTTAAGCTGTCTGTGTATATTTACCATTAAGAGAAGCTGTGCTGGAGGCTTAGTCTTTTAATAAATGTAAACATGGCTGAGTGTGGATTAATCTTACCTGAGTCCTGGTTTAATCTAGTTTAGAGGAGCGACAAAACGTTAGCATATCAAGTGTAAGAACGAAACAAGTATTATGGCTCTGTTTTGACACTATTTCTTAAACGTGTGTGTGTGTGTGTGTGTGTGTGTGTGTGTGTGTGTGTGTGTGTGTGTGTGTGTGTGGTAAGTAAGTACTGGCCTTAACATATATGAGTAAGGAAACACACAACTTGGTGAGTGAACACGTCCACACCACAACTTACTCCTCCTGCACACAACTCTCTCTCTCTCTCTCTCTCTCTCTCTCTCTCTCTCTCTCTCTCTCCTCTTGAATCATTATCTAACACTGCTTCTTCCTTGTCCCTCTTGCACCCTCTTACTCCTCCTCCTCCTCTCTAATTCACTACTATTTCCTGTTTTCCCTCATCCCTACTTATTATTGTTCTCCTTCTCCAATCCCTTGTTCTTCTCCTTCATCTCCTCTTTAACTATTCTCTTTTCTCTTACCCCTCTCTCTACCTTTCTGAGTGCTTCCTCACCCTCCTCACCCCTCATCCTCCTCTTATTTCACTATCTCTTCCTCCTCCTCATCTCTACCCCTCCTCCTCCTCCTCCACTCCTTGCTTTAATGTCAAATAGAATACCACATAAAATGTGTTGAAGTCCTACATAGCAACAATTGTGTGTGTGTGTGTGTGTGTATGTGTGTGTGTGTGTGTGTGTGTGTGTCCAGCAAAATCTTAATTCACATTTGTTTTACCGTAATTATCGTAAATGAATGCCGCCAATTAGAATAAAAATACCGAACAACATATTTGGTAAACTACATTAATGAGATTGAAGATTTTAGGATATAATGTAAAGCAGAATAAAAAAGAGAAATAGTGAGTAATATTATACTTTTATTTTAACTTTAGAATTTGTTTATGGGCTATGGGAAAGACATACTGATTATATATATACAATAAATATACTCTTCGGAGCAATATGTATACTGTATTTATATATGAAAATAAATTATGAATTAGCAATCGATACACAACTTTTTCAACCTTTATATAAATTGGATCGCGTAAAAAAAAATCTATAAAAACACACTTTCTATTTTTTTGTTTCTCCTTTAAACTTTCAAACTATCAATCCATTATTACCCAACAATGCTACTATTATAATTGGATTGCTAATGGAATGAGAATTTATTTGTTTAATTAAGGAAAAAGGCTTGGGTTAGGATGTTGGGTGGGGGAGGGGGGGGGCTGGTGCCTGAGGTTGCCACATAACCAATTACTGGCGCCTGCTGATAAGGCAGTTTTCTTCGTTGTGTTGCCAGAGGCTCTCACAAACAGCGTCCCGCCAATTGTCGTGTATTATTTTTTCCTTTGAATTTAATACCGCCTTTTGATTTTTCGCTATAATGAATTTTATTTTATTTTTTATTGTTATTTTTCCCGTGTGGACTACGGGTGTGTGTACGTATGGTGAGGTTTTGTTCTGTGGTGGTAACGTATTGTACCGTGTGTGTGTGTGTGTGTGAGAGGGGCTATTTTTATACATGTCTAGATACTGATACGTCTTCAGGCACACGTGTTATGTTTAGTATACACACACACACACACACACACACACACACACACACACACACACACACACACACACACACACATTCATCAGCTGGGGCGTGTTAGTCGGCTCATTTCTTTTAATTCTGGTCATATTTTCTCTCCCTTCCCGCCCGACGTGAAGCCAGGACGACGTTCGCTGGTGAGAGGAATATTGACTCGAGTTTGTTTCATGTTCTACTTGTAAAGATATCCCGTTTTACGTCTCCTAGTAAAGAAGTTCTGTGTTACGTCGCCTTGTAAAGAAGTTCCTTTTACGTCTCCTAGTAAAGAAGTTCTGTGTTACGTCGCCTTGTAAAGAAGTTCCCTTTTACTTCCCCTTGTAAGGATGTCTCCTTTTGCGTCCCCTTGTAAATAAGTTCCATTTACGTCTCCTGGTAAAGAGGTTCCCATTTTTTGTCCCCCTGTAAAGAAGCTCCATTTACGTCTCCGTTGGAAATGTCTTGCTCCATATCCCATCTTTCGGAAAAGCATCAGTTAGGTCGGACACGTCAGGTTTGGATTCAATGACCAGTTTTTCCCGTAAGAAAATAATTTCCACAAATTTCCCAAAACACTCAATCTGTAAAAAGAAAAAAAAGATAAAACAGTGTATTAGAACTTAACGACAGATTTAAGACGTTTGGAGAAAAAGGAAGATAAAAACACTAATAATTGGTTACAATATTCCACGATAATAAGTTAGATGATTTATAGTAAAGAAATACAGGTATCAGTTTTTTATAAGGCGTCCAGGCGTGTTTGTGAGAGACCTGTTGTTGTTATGATGTGAAATGACCAATGTTTGTTTACTCTTGTGCGTTAATAAATTTATTTAATATTGAATAAATAATAAATCGAATATATAGAGTTCTAATAATAAAAAACGAAGAAATGAAAAATAAAAGATTTAAAGAAATACAAAATCATAAAGGATAAAGAATGAGAGAAAAAAAGAGGGAAAATACTAGATACCAAATGAAAAATAGTTATTAATAGAAATAGGAAATATTGAAAACACGACAAAATTGACAAATGAAACCAAAGCAACGAGGAAAAACGAAATAGAGAAAATACGAGAAGTATCGGGACTGTGTGTTGCAGTATAAAGTATTGTGTGCTCAACATAACGTCAATATGATCTTAATGAAATGTAAATACAAGCATGAGAGCAACAAAATATTTTATTGCTCTAAATCCAACTCCCGGCTCATGTTTGTTTTCAAGTGAGAAACATTACCTGGAGGCAATTTATATTATATACATTTGTTGGCAGTTTTCATATAAATTACTAAAACGTGACCCTGAGATTGGTGGCTTTTAGGTGGTGATAATTTTCCTACTTTTTATGTTTTAATTTTGTATGTATATTTTTAATTATTATTATTATCATCATCAATCATCATCATTAATTTTTTAGTAGTAGTAGTAGTAGTAGTAGTAGAGGATGATGTCAGGGCAGCAGCAGGGAGCCTACAAGTGTGTGCTGGCCACCAGGCTGGTGGGGAGGCGGCCATTCACGCCATGAGATTGATATTTGAGCAGCGTGATTGTGAGGCCGTTCTCCTGGTGGATGCTTCAAACGCATTCAACATACTTAACCGCAAGGCGGCACTGCACAACATCAAGATCAAGTGTCCTAGCTTTGCGATGTATGTTGAAAATTCGTATAGGAATCCTTCAGACCTCTACGTAGTAAACAACAAGGCTCTACGAGGTGATACCATCCTACAGTCGACCGAGGGAACAACACAGGGAGACCCCGTTGCAATGGCAATGTATGCAATAGGCCTATCAGTGCTCCAACAAGAAATAAAGTATGAAACAACTGGGGTCAAACAAGTGGCATATGCTGATGACCTCACAGGAGCAGGAAAAGTGGAGGACATCAAAAAGTGGTGGGACCTGGTAACATCGCGAGGTCCACAAATAGGGTACCACCCAAACGCCAGCAAATCCTTCCTCATCGTGAAGCCAGATCATTATGATCGGGCTGTGGAGGTTTTCGGCGAAAGTGAGGTCAAAATAACTAAGGACGGCCAAAGACATCTAGGCGCAGTAATTGGCACTACGGACTTCAAGACCCAGTACGTAGGGGGAAAGGTGAACGAGTGGGTTAGCGAAATCCATGCTCTATCGGAGATTGCTAACACAGAGCCACATGCGGCCTTTGCAGCATTCACACATGGAGTCAAGCATCGTTGGAACTACCTGATGCGTACCATCCCTGAGATCCGACCCCTCCTCCACCCTTTGGAAGAAGCAATCAGTGTCAAGTTCATTCCCAAACTAGTGAAACACCACGACTTAACCCCAGTAGAAAGAACACTTCTTGCACTTCCACCAAGACTGGGAGGGATGGGACTAACTAATCCAGAGGAGATTGCTGACTCTGAACATCAAAATTCACTTAAGCTCACGGCAGCCCTCACTGACCACATAATAGCCCAGAATGCAACAGGGGAAGTGGACACCAGCGAAGTTAATAAGATCCGTAGATCCATTACAACAGATCGGCAGCACTGCCAAAATGACATGTTGCAGCAACTATTGCTGCAGGTTCCAGAAAATTTGACAAAAAAAGTAGCTATAGCGCAGGAGGTGGGCGCCTCGAACTGGTTAACTACGTTACCGATAAGGGCAAATGGTTTCAGCCTTAACAAACAAGAATTTACAGATGCCATTGCTCTAAGGTACGGTTGGCCAGTAGATGGTTTGCCCTCCCAATGCGTGTGTGGCTATTCCTATGATGGCGATCACGCCATGGTTTGCAAGAAGGGGGGCTTCATATGCATGAGGCATGACGAGGTAAGGGATCTCACAGCAAATATGTTGAAGGAAACCTGCCGGGACGTCATGGTAGAACCGACCCTCCTTCCACTGGATGGCGAGATCCTCCAACACAGGACTTCAAACACATCTAACGAAGCCCGTGTGGACGTCAGTGCTCGAGGATTCTGGACGCGGGGACAGCGAGCCTTCTTCGACATCAGGATTTTTGATCCCATGGCCGTTTGTCACCGTAACCTAGCTCTCGATGCTGCACATAGGAGGAACGAGAACGACAAGAGAAGGGCATATGGGGAGAGAATTCAAAATGTCGATCAAGGCAGCTTCACTCCGCTAGTGTTCACAACCTCTGGTGGGATGGGCCCAAGCGCAAGATGTTTCTACGCCAGACTCGCGGAGCTGATCTCCGAACAGAAGCAGCAGCCCAGAAGTTATGTCACAGCCTGGATGAGATGTCGACTGTCCTTCTCTCTCCTTCGGTCGGCTTTGCTCTGCCTCAGGGGAACGAGAGCTTCTGCCCCTACTCCGTCAACTGCTGCAGATATCGACTATGAGGCTACAGTCACCGAATGCCGCATCGATCTGCGGCTCAACTAATTTAACACAGATAGGATAGTTGCTTATGTATTAGGATAGTTAATATTAAGGTAAATAAATGGTGGCGAAGGTGTGGCTATTGGGGGAGGCTGGAGGCCACGTTCAAAAAAAAAAAAAAGTAGTAGTAGTAGTAGTAGTGGTGGTGGTAGTATTACATTAGTTTATATTAAGTACAAAGGGCAGTAGCGTTAATGAATGTCTTCCTACACACAGAGATGAAGGAACACAACATTCCCGGGTGTACAATATTTGACCTTTGATGTTAGTTATAAGAAATATTAACTACCTGAGGTAATAATCCCCTCACCTGCACCTGCCTCCTACAAGGAAGATGAGGAGATATAATAATACTTAATATATTTGTTTTTGTAATATTACTGTAATACTTTTAATATAATAATGATAATAATAATGGTGATGCTTAATAGTAATAATGATAGAATTATTAAAGTTCATCATAATAGTTGTAACAATTATAATGTCAGTGGTAATAATAATGATAGCCATCTCAGTTCGAATAATAACCGTAATAATAGCAACTAATTATAATTAGGCTAAAATTAGAACCAATAACAACAATAGGAATAACAACGATAATAATTTAATAATAATAATAATAATAAAGATGATGATGATAAAGATGATGATAATAATGAGACCTTTATTGTGGTGTAACGAAGAAGAGGAAATAAAACTGTTACGAGTTATTTGTTCTCACGAGGCCATTAATAAGATACAAGAACAATAAATAAGTAAAACAAGAACAAACGAGTAACCAAAACAAAACCAACTAAACATGAGTAAACAAGAGAAAACCGACAATAACGAGGATATATAGACTATAAGTGACCAAGATTGAGTCAAACATCCGGTAATTTATATAGGCCTAATGGGGACAAGACAAACAAATCCCTCACGTGAAAGAAGTTGTTGTCTGGATTACCACAAAGGGGCAAGTGTATCTGAGTTTGCCCAGATCACATCCAGTCGTCTCATCAAGTACTGCCTTTCATCCCCCTTGCCCTACTGTCTGTCCTCCTCTCCCCTCCTTTCCCCCAATTACCGTCTCTTCCCTCATCCTCACCCTACCCCCGTTTCCCTCATCCCCTCCCTTCCTCCATTCCATCATCCCCTCCCTACCCCCGTTTCCCTCATTCCCTCCTTTCCCCTCTCTCCCTTCACCCTCTTCCTTCCCTTCCCCCTTCCCTTCACCCCTAACCCCCCCTCCTGAGATATAGAACGGCATCCATACCAAGGGTCAAAAAGGGTCATTACCATTTCACATCTCAGTCTGCCCATCGCTTGTCTGGTCGTATCATCAATACGTTTTTCACCCCCTTCCCCCTCCTACAGATAAGCAGGGTGTAGTGGTGTGTAGTGTAGCGTAGTGTGGTGTAGTGTAGCGTGGTGTGGTGTAGTGTGGTTCGTAATACAATAATTGAAGGTTTTATTGGGTCGTAAAATGTATACCGTAAGATAGTGATGTTATAGTTGCTTCAGTATTGGACTAACAGTATTAGGAAGCCGAGTCAGACATAGACGTCTTACAGAACCTTATAATATTGTCAATTTATGTATAGATGATGTTATAATTCGGAGTTTTATATTGTTATAGGTGTTATATAGAACTTTTTAGTGGTGTGAGATATAAGGAGCGTTAAATTTAGAGGTCATATTAAGTTATAGGTACAATATAGAAATTATGTAATATACTGTAATATAATGTGATAAAATATTAAGCTGAAGTTTTATAAGCTTTACCTACTATATGAAACGTTGTGATAATATAATGTTGAAATATTAAGCTGAAGCTTAATAAGCTGTATACAGAAGCTCTGGTGTATATATTGTACTGTACAAGAGGTGTATGTATGTATGTACGTCATATTTATAACCTAATAATAATAATACACCGAAGATATATATATATATATATTATGATATTGTCACATTATGAAACTGAAACGTAAAATAACACGACGGATATATGGAGGAAACACGAAACGAAATGTCATAAAATAATAAATGAAAGAAAAATTGGAATACGATATAAAGTATTTTTTTTATTATAATTTATTACTGGGATTGCCTAAGCCACACGCATATATAACTGGAGCGGAGGATATATTAAACCTCTTGGGTTTCAAAAGAGAACATTTACTATATACCTGAGGCAAGACTCTACACCTGTAATCAATTTTTTACAGCTCAGCACAGGTGTTCCATTCTGGTGGCCTCTCAGTGTAGGTGTTTGTGTCCTGGAGTGGACCTTGTTTCTTCAGTTGTTCAGGTGTTTTCTTTATCGTACGGAAACATCTGTTCCTCCCCATGCTTGTTTTTCCTTGTGCGGTTGTTTTTGTCACAGCCGATAATTGTATTTACCAGGTATTGCACATTTGTTTTACCTCAGTATAGGGTCACATGCTTTATCGCAGCTGTTCTCGTCTCAGCAATGTTTATCCCTCAACGCAGATGTTATTCATATATATATATACACGCGAGTATAGTGTGGTAGTGGTGTTCCTTTCTCGCTCTCAGTGTTCTGGGCCCAGCAACACAGCTGCCCCACCTCCCCCCAATACAGGTGTTTTAAGCCAGGCTCAGCTGTTGTTAGTGCCTTATATCAGATGACTGAAGTAAGGGTGCAGCTGTTTCTCTCTGGATACAGACGCCCTGACAACTGTAGCCGTTTTCTCCTTGGTGCAGCTGTCCTTTTCTCAATACAGAGGCTCTAACAGCTGTTCTCACCTCTGTACAGACGCTGTTATGATGCAGCTGTTCCTTTCTGGGTACAGACACCCCGACAGCTGTACACCATTTCAGTAAAGCCAACTTCCCTTCGGTGCAGCTGTTACAGTCTCAACCCAGAGCCACTAAGCCAGAGGTGCACAGCTGCGCCTCCCCTCCGTACAGGTGTTTCAGCGGAGCCTCACGGACAGATGGTCTGCCACCCTCGTAAAACATAATGCACCTTAATCACTTGTGCTCTTGTGTGTAGTGAATGTCAAATACTTCCAGAAATAGGTTGACTTACCTTCACATTCCTCACTAATAATGTTTGTGTTTTATTGTGTATGGATATGTAGATGTGTATGTATGTATGTATGTATATTTTATTGTGTATGGATATGTAGATTTGTATGTATGTATGTATATTTTATTGTGTTTGGATGTGTATGTTTGTTTCATTACGTGTGATTATATATACAGTATACGTGTTTTATTGTCTGTGGCTATGTATGTTTTTATTGAGTATGAGTAATGCTTGTATGTTTGTTTTATTATGTATTAATTGTTTGTGTGTTTTATTGTGTAGTAATAAATGCTTTGTTATGTTGCCTTTTTGGTGTTGTTATTATTATTTATTTATTATTATTATTATTATTATTATTATTATTATTATTATTATTATTAATTATTATTATTACCGGTATTATTTAAATGATTTTATAGCTTGGGTTTGTATTTTTATTTATAGATTTAATTTGTTTGTACTACTTTCTTATTCATATCCTTAGTTGTTTGTTTATTTATATATTTATTTATATCTTGTCTATTTTAATGTGTTCTCGCAGTATATTTTAATTTTAAGTATTTTTAAAGAGTTAACTGAAACATACGATAAAATTAGAATCAAGGAAAAGAATTATTTTAAGTCACATTACACCATTGTCTCCTCAGTGTTCTTCAGCGCTAAATTAAATCACGTCTCCAGAATTTAATGTAACTTGAGAGACTGTCACGTCATTATATTATTTGCTGAGAATTATTATTATTATTATTATAGTATTTGAGTCTTTCTATTTTATATCCCATAATATAAATGGTCTTGGCCTGGTTTAAGAAACACTTGAAATAATAATAATAATAATAATAATAATAATAATGATGATGAGAGTTATTGTGTGTTCATCCGTCTGTATTTTTACGTTCAATTTGTATCTATAAATCTTGGTAAATTGAACTGTTTCACTTTTGTTCAGTTCAGTATCCGAAGGACGACGAAAGTGACATCTTAACGGGAAGTATAGAGGGTCAGTGGACTTCATCTTAGCTACTACTGTCCTGGTGGTGTGTGGATGTCTTGTGCCTCACCATCTCTTCTTCAGACACATGGATGGAGGAGACGAATGCTAACTATAACAATTAATCCAGACCAAATTGTTAATGATCTCGGGTCTTGTGTTGTGTTTACTTAAGTCCGGAAACTTCGTATAAACTCGTGGGTTAATTTGTCCGGTAACTGGAGAAATGAGATTTACACTTACCTGACCTGTAGCACAAAGATGGCGAGCAAATACCATCAACGTTGCACTGAAGACTCTACCTTAACTATGTGTGTTCTTGTACCCTTAACTAGAGGGGAGGAGGGGAAATAATCACGTATGAATCTTTAACCAGGTCCAGATTCTCTTAAGTCTCGTATATACAGTATTTTTTCCCTTGAACTAGAGATAATAACACACACATATAGTTGAGTCTACAGTAAATACCACCATCATTATCTCCTAACTTAAGTGAGGAAGTTAGACGCTTTCTCACAATATCCAACTCAGGGGGGGGAAGGTTTCATCTGACACCTGCCTCTGACAATCCCATGCCAGGAATTAATCGTTTGGCCACTTACTGAAATTATGCATCGATGGTGGCGTACGAGCGTGTTTGTGTAGTGGTGGTGTTATGGTCACGACGCCATCATCACCAGACCACGTAGGGGGAGGGGGGGTAGAGGGGTTATTGTACCTGTAATTTGTAACTAGATTTACACCTGTAATGCTATCTGTGAATAAATTATTACACTGTGGTATTGGGTGATTGATAGGAGGAGAGTGGTGATGGGTGGTGTAGTGGATGTGATGATGATGATGATGTTGATGATGAAGTGTCTAGAGAGGACGATCTCCCTCTCACCATCACTCACCATCACTACCATATTTCTTCCACGACTACTACTACTACTACTACTACTACTACTACTACTACTACTACTACTACTACTACTACTACTACTACCCAGCCCATTTCTTTCCTCCCTCTTACCTCTCCATTACCTCCCTCACCATCATCAACACCATTATCAACATTCCCTTTGCTCACCCCACCACCTGTAACCACATACTCTCACCACTCTCGCATCATCACCCTTTACTGTCACACCATCACCTCTCACTGTCTAATCACCGTCTATTTCGGCCGTGGATAAGTCGGATCCCAAGAAAAAAACTACTTCCTCCTCCTCCTCCCTCCTCCTCCTCCTCCTCCTCCTCCTCCTCCTCCTCCTCCTCCTCCTCCTCCTCCTCCCTCTCTCCTTCTTCTTCGTCCTCCTCCTCCTCCTCTCAACTGATGCAGTATATTGGAAAGTGTTGACAGCCAATATGGGGTCACGTGCTTCTTGTTGACCTCCGCCCCACCAACACTTAATAACACCTCTCTTGTTTACTCTGGCTCTTGTAGTTTAATGTTTATCTCTCTCTCTCTCTCTCTCTCTCTCTCTCTCTCTCTCTCTCTCTCTCTCACTCTCTCTCTCTCACTCACTATACAGTATGTTGATTTATGGAGAGACAGTTAGGAATTGTGGCAGACAGGAAAAAAAAGTCTATTAGGCAGCCAGACAGAGAGAGGCAGACAGGCGCCCACGTTGGCTAGGACGCAGACAAGAAGCAGTCACCCTTATAGATAGCTAGGAACTAGAAAGGCACCTAAACATATAGACAGGCATCTGGACAAATAGACAGGCACCTAGATAGATAGACAGGCACTTAGACAGATAAGCTGGCACGTAAACAGATAGACAAGCACTTAAATAGATAGACAGGCACTTAGATAGGTAGAAATTAAACTGACACCCAGTAGAAGCTATACGCAGTAGGCAGGTTCCCAGGCAGATAGATAGGCACCTAGGCAGGCTCCCAGGCATGTAGACAGGCAGGCTGAAACCCAGCCTGGCAGTCACCGTGGCAGATAGGCAGGCAGGCAGACAGATAGTCAGAGGCAGCGCGGTAAAGCTTTTAGTTGATTGCTCCCTCACAGAGCTGACAAAATTCGCAGGCTGTGAAGCACCGACCCAATAATACCTTTTTGTGAGTGTCGCAGTTGATACGCGGGAGGCGGGCGGCTGCTGGGGTAGTGAGGGGGGACGGGTTTGTGTCGTCGTTGATACGCGGGAGGCGGGCTGCTGGGGTAGTGAGGGGGGACGGGTTTGTGTCGTCATTGATACGTGGGAGGCGGGCGGCTGCTGGGTAGTGAGGGGGACGGGTTGTGTCGCAGTTGATACGTGAGGAGGCGGCTGCTGGGGGTAGTGAGGGGGACGGGTTTGTGTCGTCGTTGATACGTGGGAGGCGGGCGGCTGCTGGGGTAGTGAGGGGGACGGGTTTGTGTCGCAGTTGATACGTGGGAGGCGGGCGGCTGGGGTAGTGAGGGGGGACGAGTTTGTGTCGTCGTTGATACGTGGGAGGCGCGGCTGCTGGGGTAGTGAGGGGGATTGTGCCGTCGTTGATGCGTGGGAGGCGGGCGGCTGCTGGGGTAGTGAGGGGATGGTTTGTCGTCGTTGATGTGGGAGGCGGGCGGCTGCTGGGGTAGTGAGGGGACGGGTTTGTGTCGTCGTTGATACGTGGGAGGCGGGCGGCTGCTGGGGTAGTGGGGGACGGGTTTGTGTCGTCGTTGATACGTGGGAGGCGGGCGGCTGCTGGGTAGTGAGGGGGACGGGTTTGTGTCGTCGTTGATACGCGGGAGGCGGCGGCTGCTGGGGTAGTGAGGGGGACGGGTTTGTGTCGTCGTTGATACGTGGAGGCGGGCGGCTGCTGGGGTAGTGGGGACGGGTTTGTGTCGTCGTTGATACGGGAGGCGGGCGGCTGCTGGGTAGTGAGGGGGGTTTGTGTCGTCGTTGATACGCTGGAGGCGTGGGCGGCTGCTGGGGTAGTGAGGGGGACTTGGTGTCGTCGTTGATACGTGGAGGCGGGCGGCTGCTGGGGTAGTGAGGGGGACGGGTTGTGTCGTCGTTGATACGTGGAGGCGGGCGGCTGCTGGGGTAGTGAGGGGGACGGGTTTGTGTCGTCGTTGATACGCTGGAGGCGGCTGCTGGGGTAGTGGGGGACGGCTTGTGTCGTCGTTGATACGCAGGTAGTGAGGGGGACGGGTTTGTGTCGTCGTTGATACGCGGGAGGCGGGCGGCTGCTGGGGTAGTGAGGGGACGGGTTTTGTGTCGTCGTTGATACGCTGGGAGGCGGCTGCTGGGGTAGTGAGGGGGATTGGTGTCGTCGTTGATACGCGGGAGGGGCGGCTGCTGGGGTAGTGAGGGGGACGGGTTTGTGTCGTCGTTGATACGCTGGAGGCGGGCGGCTGCTGGGGTAGTGAGGGGGACGGGTTTGTGTCGTCGTTGATACGCTGGAGGCGGCGGGCGGGGGTAGTGAGAGGGACGGGTTTGTGTCGTCGTTGATACGTGGAGGCGGGCGGCTGCTGGGGTAGTGAGGGGGGACGGGTTTGTGTCGTCGTTGATACGCGGGAGGCAAGGCTGCTGGGGTAGCGAGACGTCGTTGATGGGAGGTAGTGAGGGGGGACGGGTTTGTGTCGTCGTTGATACGCGGAGGCGGGCGGCTGCTGGGTAGTGAGGGGACGGGTTTGTGTCGTCGTTGATACGTGGGAAGCGGTCCGTGTGTGTGTGTTGGCTTTATGTCAGGATCGAGACAGTGAGAAAGAAAGGCGTGTGGGAGGAATAGAGAGGAGAAAGGGAGGGAGTAAGAGAATGGAATGAGAGAAAGACTGAGTACACACACACACACACACAAAGAGTCTAGACCAACGCCGGGAAGATCTGCGTCTTAGGATTGGTTTAGCAGCTCATCTGAAGCTTAGCCCTTGGCTTAACTTATTCAATTTAAGAGTAACCATTCAAAGTCTAACATAACATAACATAATCTAACAGAAAATAACAAAACATAATTTAATGTAACAATCTAACTTAACCTAACCTAACCCCCCCCCCCACACATATCCAGGTAGCGTTAGAATATATAATCATCGGTTAAAATAAGCTGGGGGGGAGGGAGGCTAATCTTCAGGTGATCCGTTCTAGGTAATCCCTAACACCCACACCTGCTGCCACACCTCCCCCCCACATTAATGTAGGTAACTCACGCCATGCACACCTGCTCGTCCAGCCTAAGGAACTATAAGACACACCTATGTATTAACCCCCACCTGGCTTATCTAACCTGATGATTAAACACCCTAACGCTATCTGGGGGGGTTAGGTTAAGTTAGGTGAGCGTTAAAAGTGGTCAACTTATGGTGAAATAAGTTGGGGTGGTTGATCTTCAGGTGATCCTTGAAGGGTAGTGATTGGGTTTATTGTCTCTTGTTATCAGTCAGTTTTACTATAATTTAATCATGTATCATGAAACCTTTATTTAACGGACTATTTGGAGAGGTAAGTCCCTTATATCGACGGTCCGTTAGGCTTTGTTGATATTATTATTATTATTATTATTATTATTATTATTATTATTATTATTATTATTATTATTTTTATTATTATTATTATTATTATTATTATTTTTATTATTATTATTATTATTATTGCTTTTATCATTATTATTATTAGTAGTAGTAGTCTTGTAATTGTTGTCATTATTACTACTATTATTATTTATTATTATTAATAGTAGTACTAGTATTGTTTTTGTAATTATTATTATTACTGTTATTATCATTGTTGTTTTTGTTATTTTTTGTCATTGTTATTATTTGTAGTAGTAATAGTCGTATTATTATTATTATAGTCGACATTATTGTTGGGCTGCAGAAAGATAGACTGGCAGACAATAGGTTCTCTTAAGCGAGAGAGAGAGGTGGAGGGCAGAATCCATTGCGTCTGTATACTGTATGTTGCTGTCGTCTTATGTATTGTTCATTGACTTTATAAACTAAATAAATAAATAAATGAATAAAAGAATAATGACATTCACTATTGGAAATTTTTTAAAATCTCTCTCCTCATACCACCCCACCCACTCCACCTCCCCTTCTTCCCACTTACCTTCCTCCTTCCACCTACGCACCCACTCACCCTCCTCTCACACAGGTGCTTACCAGCTGGTGTTATACACAGGGGGGTGATCAACAGTGTTTTAACCTCCGGCTGGAGTAACGCGCCATCACCTGCCTGTACCCTGACGCACCAGGCAGCCGTCACCCGCTCACGTAAACACTCGCTAACAAATAACTAACCCATCCAGGGGGACTCACGGAATGGGTTACCTTAGAGGCTTAGATGGTAGTAGATTTTATTTTTAATTTTACATTTAGATTTTAAGTATTTGGACATTATTACTAATATTTAAAAAAAACTCAAACAAATCATTAATATTTATTTTGTCTAACTAAATTGTTTAACTTTCTATTATATTAATTTTTTTTATTCAGTTCACATTCATTTTGAAACATACAGACAGATTCCTAACGTTTATTCGTTACAAATATTCACAGTTTATTGGGGCAATGTTAGACCAAGTGAACACTCCCCGTTATAACTTGATTATTGAGTTGATTTTGAAAACTCGGAAAAGAATTGTAAAATTGATACAGAATTTTTATCACAATTTCAGGATTTATCTGAGAACTACATGTAAATAGAAATTCGTTAAATATCCCTACTAACTCATCCAGGGAGTGCCGACACCCACCCACTGACTTAGTGATTACTGTAATTTATTTCCGATTCTAAAATGTATTTCGAAACATTAGAGGCGCATTAAAAGTTTATTCTGAAGCGTCTGTACAAATTCAGAAGTATATTCGGGAACTTTACTGCGGGTGCTGTAAACCTCGACGTTATACATTATTCTTATACTAATGATTGCTTTGTAAGGTTTACTCAGCAACTTTAGTACAGGTAAACACGTGTTAGCTAATTAGACTCGTCTTTGGACCCACTTCCGGTACCTGGCCGACTCCTTTATTATAACTGTAAAACTCTATTTCAACCCCAGAGCAAATTTGAGTTAAATTGATTCAAAATAACTAGTACAAATTAAAGAGTTTATTCAGGAAATTTAAGGTTAATAATTACGAATTTATTTGGACATTTTGGTTTAAATTCTAAAGTTTAGGCACACCAGCACCTCACATACAGGAGAGTCAGTGTAAACCTATAACTGAAACAGTGTTATAAATCTGATGAGTAGTCCATACAAACCCCGTTCAAGTGTATTTATTCAGAAATTTTGTCTAAAGTACCAAGAGAACGTCTATATGTGGCAACAAACTTACACTGAGACTCTAATACATTAATTAGAAACGTTCACGTAGCACCTGACAAAATGAAGGTAAGTTTGACTCCTAACTCGTTTATTAGTTAAGGTGGAGTGTTATTTTGATCTTTTTTTTTTTGTTATTTTTACTTTTTTGAGATGTTATTTTTATGATATTTTTGGGTGTTATTTTTGGTTATTTTTATACCGTACCTCAAAATTTTGGTGTTATTTTATATCTTCACTTACAAGGAAAAATATATATCGTAAAACCTTTGTGAATCTGAACCCCTGGTGGCTAGGTTCAGGGTTCTTGGAAGGGGGGGGGGAGAGGTATATGAAGAAAAGAGAAGAAGAGAGAGAGAGAGAGAGAGAGAGAGAGAGAGACAGAGAGACAGAGAGAGACTCGACCCCTCCACCCTCCTGACACACCACCACCATTACCACCCACCAGAAAACAGTAATTTTAATTCAGTATCTCCATTACTCTGCGTCTGTCTCTGGCCTCCCTACCACCACCACCACTACTACTACTGATGCTGATGCTACTACCACCACTATCACCACCACCACCACCACTACTATCCCTGCTAATACTACTACTAATGCACTACCTTCATAACCACCACTAATATTATCACCACTACTACTGCTATTTCTTCTACTACTATCATCACCACCATTACCACTAACACCACCATCACTACTACCACCACTATTACCATCACCACAAATATCATCACCCTCACCACCACTACCACCACCACAAATATCATCACCCTCACCACCACAAGTATCATCACCCTCACCACCACCACTATCACCACCACTACCATCCTCTACCCAGGTAATTCTTCACTCTTCCCCTCTTCCTTGGCTCCGAAAACTAGCAGGTTACACCCCGTTCTCTCTGTGATTTTTATAGTAAATTGTCAATTACAGGGGTAGCTGGGGTCACGGCTCTCCTCTTCATTACTCTTTATTTAATTTTGTTTTTATGTTTACAAGTTTAATCTTGTGTTTTGTTTAATTTTTTTACTTTTGTTTTATATTAGTATTAGTACTTGTTATTATTATTATTATTATTATTATTGGTATCATCATTATTATTGTTATTATTATTACATTATAATTATTATTATTATTGTTATTATTACATCATAACTACACACACACACACACACATAATCACACACACTACACCACACCAATCACCACACTTACCACTCATCACACTACAACCACACATCTGCACACACACACACACACACACACCACAACCACACACACACACACCACACACCACACCATCATCACTGCACATCATCACACACACACCACACACACCACACCACACACACACACACAACACCACACACACCACTCACCACCACACTGCACACCACACACACACACACACACACACACCACACACACACACACACACACAGCCACTTTACCACACACACTTATTATTATATTATTATTATTATTATTATTATTATTATTATTATTATTGTTTTTATTATTATTATTATTATTATTATTATTATTATTATTATTATTATTATTATTATTATTATTATTATTATTATTATTATTATTATATCTGTTCTTATCATCGAACAGAGGTTACAAAGCCTTAATCAGGTGTCTATTTCTTGTATTGAATTTCATTCGTTGTATAAATATTTATTACACAGTTATTTTGTTTCGTTTTAGGGATTACTCTTAATTCCTAATGGCGGCCATCTTGATAATCAGCTGTTTTTTAAAGATTGAAGACAATTTTGCACTATCTCTTTCCTTCCTTCCTTCCTTCTCAACTCTCCCTCTTTCCTCCTTCATTCATTCTCTTTTACTCTCCTTGCGGTCGTAATATAATAATTTTTTATTATTTGTAAATTTGCATAAACATGTTTTTTATATAATTGTTACTGGTATCATGTTATATATTGCTGTGTGTGTGTGTGTGTGTTTACCATGCACATCAGTAATTAAATTTGTCATAACTGTTATCCATACAACTTTATTTAACCAATTTTTATTTTTTTTATTTATTCATTTGTATTTAGTTACGTTCCATTTTGTTTTATAATATTAGTATTTCTTTTTTATTCGTGTTTTTTATTTTTAGTTTTATTTGTGTTTTTTTTATTATTTTTGGTGTTTTATTATTGTTTTTTCTTATGGATGAGTTTTTCTCCGACATTTGATTTATTTATATTCCTCTTATTCTTTTGTTTATTCCTTATGTTTCTATTTAGTTTTATTAACATTTAGTTCACACTTTTCGCCCTGTGGTAATTCTCTCTCCTGTAAACAAAGGAATAGTGTAAAAATATATAT